TAAAGAAGCACGAAGATACATGGTCAGATACACGCGTAGACGTTCCCACACGTATAGACTTACTATTTACGTCAAACACTACGCCATTGTTCGTAGTGTCGTCTGTAGGATGATGTAACCTGACAGTCGACGCTACTGGGCTCTTGATTGAGCAGAGCCCAAAAATTATAGTGAGAGAAACTAAATAATGCATGCTTTCTTCCGTATTTCAAAACTAATTGTTTGGTATACAACAAAATAAGGCGTTTATTTGTGAACCGAATTGGTACACCTTGCTGGAAGAATCACCAGTTGCTCATATGTTTTATTTGAGTAACATGTAAAATAATGACACATTATATGTACTTCTCATAACTTCTTATCATTGCCGGAGACTGCTGTCTTCTCTTGTGATGAAACTTTTTCTGACAAGCGATGACAAAATGGTGAGTCATCAGTTTTGTTGACTATGAAAACATGTCGACAACTATTACACATGTCAATACAGAAAGTCAGTCAGTCAGTCACTGAGTATGTATTTAGTATGTACTGACTACTGAGTACTGACTACTGACTACTGAGTACCGAGTACTGAGTACTGAGTACTGACTACAGAGTACCGGTGCGTATGAAATTTCCTAATTAAGTCTCACTCACTTAGTAACTAATATAATATATACATATCAGTCTATCTCAGCCCAGAGGCAGTTGCGCGAGGAAAATAGCCTAATTAGGACAAATTCTCAACAATATCGGGGCGCGATTTAAAAAAAACGAGAGTATACTTTTTAAAATTTAGCAATACTTGTCTACGTTAAACGTTTATATCGAGGTGGCCCTATAATTGTGGCAATGGGTGCATATTCGGAGCCCTGAGCTACAAAATATTAAAATTTTATATGGGGTGCCCATTTAATTCGAATAATATTTAGGTCAATATTTCGTCAGTCTTTTGACCCGTATAAACGGTTCTTCGTTTTTTTATTTTAACAAAAGAAAAAAAGGGTTATAAAATCAAATCAATAACCATTTACGCTGATCAATGTTTTAGATTACTCTTGATAAAAAAGCTATATGATAAATAAATGAAGAGGAAGACTGTGAGTGTGTATGAGTATAAATATATATAAACGCATGTGAGCCATTGCCATTGTCATTCCGTGTTGAGTGCGTGTAGCTTGATGAATACAAATATCTTAAGACAGTATGCCTGCAATGAATGTGGCCAGTATTATCATCGACAAGCGCGATGGCAAAGAGCTCTCTAAAGAACAGATCGAGTATCTTATTTCACACTATGCCGATGAGAGTGTCCCAGATTACCAGATGGCCGCCTGGGCTATGGCAGTGTACCTCAAAGGCATGACCACTGTCGAGACAGCAACTCTAACAAAGTGCATGATAGCCTCTGGTGATACACTCAAATGGCCAGGGTGTGATAAGCCTATTGTGGACAAGCATTCGACTGGGGGTATAGGTGACAAGGTGTCCATACCTTTAGCTCCGATGCTCGCATCTTGTGGTGTGTGTGTGCCGATGATATCCGGGCGTGGGTTGGGGATCACAGGCGGCACACTTGACAAACTGGAATCTATCCCAGGGTTTCAAGTAGAGCTCAGCAATGAAGAGTTACAGAAGATTGTGACTGAGGTGGGGTGTGCGATTGCAGGCGCATCGTCAGGATTAGCGCCGGCGGATAAACGTCTGTATTCATTGCGAGACGTAACGGGCACAGTATCGAGTATTCCATTGATTACGGCGAGTATTCTAGGAAAGAAGCTGGCTGAGGGCATAGGTGCGTTAGTGATGGATGTGAAGTGGGGAAGTGGCGCGTTTATGCAGACCAGCGAGGATGCCCGGGCGTTGGCTACGAGCTTGGTGACGGTGGGTAATGAGTTGGGTGTCAAGACATCTGCTGTGATCACAGATATGAACCAGCATTTGGGCTATATGATTGGCAATGCGGTGGAAATTAATGAGTCTGTGGACATACTGAAAGGGACGGGGCCTCCGGATGTACTCGAACTTGTGCTGGAATTTGGGGCGAATTTGCTGATCAGTTGCGGCAAATACGATAGTAAGGAAAAGGCTATAGATGTTTTAATGGATACTATCACATCTGGCACAGCGCTAAAGAAGTTTGAGGAGATGGTTAAGGCGCAAGGAGGTGATCTAAATGCGCCAAGGAAGGTTGCCAAGGCGCATGTAGTTACAGCCCAAAGCAGTGGGTATGTTGTGCATATCAATGAAGAATCGCTAGGACAAGCTATCATTGAAATGGACGGCGGAAGACACCAGCTGGGCGATGCGTTGAATCACTCTACAGGTATGTTTGCCCTGACGTTGTACTAGTTTTTGTGCGACATGTCTAAAGATACTGCAAACCCTTTTACAATACGGGCTTATGTTTAACGAAATCTTTCCTGGAAGATGTCACATATATGCGTATATTTAGGTCGATCTTTCATAGATTCACATCTGTTCTATTTTGAAGAGAATTGAAGCATTGTCATCCTTGTAGCTTGATAAGATGAACGAGCTTGTCATTTCTTTTAGATGTCATTGTATATAGCTATCGGCGCAAGATACACCAGCTTTCTTGAGTGTGTTACTGCATTCAGAAACCTCACGTACACCTTGTTTTAGACAGATGTTAATTCATGATAAGTGTGTAAAGTAAGTCAAGTTTAAGGTAGTGTGCAGGTGTGAGTCTGTCTTCTTCTATTCGCAGGGACGCTTTAAAATGGCATACACTAGTAACTATGAGAGAGAATTTATACAGGTGCACCCAAAGTGGGTTGTACACTCGTTCTACGGAATTCCTTACCCACCGCGCGCCAGTCTAAAAACACGCTTGAAGTTGCAAATCTTGTCCATAAAATCGAAGCACCATAAATATTAAGTAGGTGATTGCTTATCGGTCGAACTATAGTCTATGCGTAGACTCTTCTGCAAACTAGTCACATACAATATTGCGGCCAATCCGTTCATCTGTTTTGACTCAAGCCAACATAACATGCATCGACTCCAAACGTAGGTATTTGTATGCAGAAGAAGATTGGGAGCAGAGTCGAGAAAGGTGAGGAAATCGCGACCATCTTTTGTGACGAGCCCGATAAATTGAAGCTGGCCTCGAGTTTATTGGCCGGCGCTATTGGGATTGGCAGCGAAAACATAGATCCGCTCACTCTAATTGTTGAGAGGCTCTAGAAGGGTGAATTTATAACACTGCTTCGATTGCATGACTCGCCCCGGAATTTTTGGCCAGTTCTATTGAGATTAAAAAATTAGATCCGCTCACTCTAGTTGTTGAGAGGCTCTAGGAGGGTACATTTATACCACTGTTTAGATTCCATGACTGGCCTCGGATTTTTTTTGGCCGGCGCTATTGTGATTAAAAGCGAAAACGTAGAGCCGCTCACTCGGATTGCTCAGAACCCCCAAGGTACATTTCTAACAATGTTCGATTGTATATCTGAAGCTTCTTACGTCTCGATGATAGTTTTTTGTTCAATATAAGTTCAGTGGTACCTTACAGGCCCATTGAACTACAATAAAGCATATTCATCACGAAGTACCGCATAGGCAGTAGAATATGCCTTGATTTTAGTACACATGGTCGACCTAATCCAAATTACTCGATTCTTGCACATGTCAGTCGTCGGCATGTCCAACCTGCCCAGGTGTAGAGAGAAATATTTGCGATTGTTGATGAATGTCAAAAACTTTGGAGTGTGCATATCACTAGTCTAATGCAATTTCAAAAGTAAAAGCACAAATACAGAAAGGAGGTACACGTGAAGATAAGAACAGGATATATAGATATGTATATAGATACAGATACACATACAGATACAGATACAGATACAGATATATACATACATATAT